ACTTGATATTCTCTGTGTATTTTGTTTAATTGTGCAAATAAAGAAATGAAAATATAATTAAATTTTAAAAAACACCTAATCCTCTAAATATGGGGTATAAAATTCTATAATCTTAAACATTTATCTTAAAGGTGCTTTTAAGCCTCCTCCTCTCTAAACTCAGCACTTCTTTATTATGGTGGTAAGAAATCATTATACTCCTAACAGATTGTATCAATAACAATAAGTGAAAGTAAATAGGATATGCTAATCTTCACACACCTTCACCTTTTGCCTCTAACACACTGAAGGTTTATTGAGCTGTGTTCTAACACGCAGGATCCTGCTGCACTGTTTCACAGCTGGTCGCTATGGTTTTTAGCATCCACATTTATAAAGCAGTTTAGATCTAGTAGTTTTAACAGTACAGACATAAAGTTGCAGCTTGTTTCATGAAGTCCTGAATGACCACATAGGCTGTTTGTCCCTAAATCATGATAGGACCTGTAAGAGTGTCTCGTGAAATAGTACCCGTCATGGAACAATGCCGGTTTGGTGAGGTTTAGGAAAAGATTATAGTTTGGGTTAAAATTAATTCTTTGTTAAGGTTTGAGACCTTCGTCGTCATGGTTATAACTATGTGGTTAAGGTTGTGGAACGGTCAAGAATAAAACCAACACTGGTCTCCTGTGTGAAAGTCTTGATTTTTGTTGACCCAGCCTCTTCCTAACTTGAACTTTATCTCTCTTTATACTACATCACCTGACTTCCTCCTTTGCTCCCATCATGAAGATTATGACCACTAGAGGTCGCCTGAAAAAACACCTAGCAATGGGTGGTAATAAGCTGCTGCACAGATGAACTATGGACCGTCTGCTTTATCCATGTGCAATAAGGGATCTTTGAAGACCCTCTGATGAAAACCAAGTATTTAACCTTGTTAACATCCATATGATGTTTTTATATAATACAGACATATGATGAGTGAAATAATCATCAGCACCATGACTGAGTGTTTCCACCTTGACCTGCAGTGAACCAATGACAGTCTCATAAACACAGATTCAGACAGCCAGGGTTGCATACATCACAAACCTAAGGAACCAATCCTGTCAACTTGTGGGGACGGGGGGCGGGGCTAAATCAACCTGAAACCTTGTCAGTACAGAGAGAGAGAGTTAGCATTAGCACAACAACTAACACTGTGTCAGCCACTGCCAGTTACAAGCTAACAAACAACATAAACAGATAAAAGATGCTAACTACACTAACCGTTCTGATCCGTCTGCTAGTCTCTGGTTCTGGTCTCAGACTCCTCATCTGAGTCTGGGTCTGACTGAGGCTCAAACATGTGGCTGAGTCTCTCTGATGTTTCCTCCTCTAACCATCTTGATACTCTCTGCTCTTTCACCTGTCCACCTGGAGACAGCAGGTGGTGGGCGGGGCTCAAGGCCTGATCCACATTTCTCAATCAGGAAGTAAGAGGAGATGAGCTTCAGACCGGATTTAATGTGTGAAAACCAAGTTAAAAATATGAATCATAGCAGAGGATTTTTAGAGAGTTTAAAACATGCCTGGAGGATCTTTAAATACGCTCCAAAGACTTTGCTATTGGCTCTTTCAAAAGTGTTAATGGGTCACATTTCAGTCACTGCTGTTGTCTGACAACCAAAACAGAAAAACATGTCAGTTAGAACAGCTTTATTGTGAATTCAGCTAAATGCAGATATGACACAATGACATTGTGAATATGCTAATTAGCATATTACATCATCTACCAACATTTAGCGACTTTTGCAGCAACTTTAGCTAATTTTCACTATAAATAGTTGTAAACAGTGGCTCCACGACAGTTTTCAACTACATCCTCGATTTCATACGTTGACCACACACAGTCCGGTCACATACTGGGTTCTGACCTGGTCTTATTCTCTGGAACCTTTAAAGCAAAGCCTAATGAAGCTTAGTGGAAGTTCAGTCAGGAAGATTATCTCCTCACTCTGTAAGTCAAAAGAACCGTTTCCAGCTCTCTCTAAGCTCCACCAGCTCATTCTCGTCTTCATCCAATCACAACCTGACACACTGGCCTTCAGCCAATCACTTGTAAGCTGTCAAACTTTAAAAGTGTCTCTCTCTCTGCTGTCATTCAGCACCCACCTCCACCCCTTCACCACCTCATCTCGGTTGCCTGACCATCTCCAATCAAACCATCCAATCAGAAGTTTCCTTTTCATGAAGACATTCCCATACCTCCATTGCTCATTACCACTACCGCTGGTGTCTGGGCTCCGAGTGAAGTCTCATCTAATTGGAAGGACCTTAAACATATGGACTGCTTTCCATGGTGATCCACATCCTGCCAGGGTCTAAGTGCCAAATTCTATTCCCTCTGTTCACAATAAGTTCCATTTTACTTCAAATTTCTCGTATTCTTTTGTTCATTTATTAGTCTCTCCTGGTTGAAATAATTTTGTGGTCAACAGAATACAACAATTTTAAATCAAATGCCATCAACCATTAATCCTCAACTGCGGAGTTCGTCCATGTGTCGGATTCAAGACTCATAAATCTCCAGGTGTCTGACAGCAAACAGTGCTGAGGTGGGTTTAAAACCAAACCTGAGTAAAATATGAATCATGGACGCCTGCGATGCTTCTGGTCATCTGGAGCTAGGTCCAAAAACACGAGACGCAAATTGACGATTGTTCACATTTAAAAACAAGACGATCCAGCATCCTCCCCCTGAAACCTCATACTCTAAATCAGTTTGAGAGCACACAAGCTCCAGCTCAATCATGTGGGCCATGAGGAAAATGAACTTGATCCCCAACTGACATCTCCAAACATTTTCATCACTATTGCATAAATATGTTTCTTGTAAAAATTATTTTCTCGTATGTGTTATATCACAATAAGCTAGAGAAGATTAGATTTTCTCTGACGGGTTCACAGAGGTACTTTGGGTAAATATGGACACCTTTACTGAACTATGTAAAGACTGCTTGGTACACATGCGTTTTTCACTGCACATATATTTATTACTTTATTTTTTGTCTGTCTGTTTATATTTATTAATTTATTTTAGGGCCCCATGCACTAATTGTAGGATTCCTGTTGTTGTTGTAGCATGGGGGATTGAACAGGGTTGTGTGTCTTATCTCACCATAACTTGATGTTCACGTGCGGCCTCGTAGCTCAAGGACATCACCTGCCTTTAACTGGGACCCAGTATTTGGTGGTGAACCAGGGCTCAGGTCCTGTAAACACAACAGACTTACCTGCTGTCAAATTCGCCTTATGCCTAATGGTGTTGAAACTCCATGCACATCATCTTTACATAACTTTTTTCTTCTGACCATGCCCTCTGTGCAATATGTGACAGGGATGTTATATATTGTAACTTACTACATTTTTGTTTGTTGTTGAACTCTGGACTTCCCCACTACATATTAAGTATTTGATGGTCTCTTTGTGCCATCGTCTTCTCCTGTTTATCTCTGCTAGGGAGGGAGGGAGGGAGGGAGTTCATGCTTGGGTATAATTGGTTTTGCTATGTTGGGAAAATTTCTACATCACAAGACGAGAACTGTTTACATTAATATAACATAAACTTAACGTAGGGCACGGTTTGTTAGAGCTTGAAAAAAGTCCCTCTGTCACCTTCTCCCTGTCAAGATATCTGATAACTGGACAGCACCTGGTCCAGCTTACACCTGCTCTATGCACAGTAGCAACATGCAGCACTGCCTTCCCCACACTGAGGTACAGTCCATCCTCTGCTGTAGTGCTCAGCAACATCACCTCTCTGATGCTCTGGGATCCTTTTCACACTTTTCTCATTTAGTCTCACTGAAATCACCACAGCTCTTCACACACACTGAGGCGATGGCTTCCGTGGTATTGGAAATGTTTTGTTTAAAGGAGGTGAACTACTTTCTCAATATCGGCATCAACCGTTTCCTCTGGATCTCTGGAGTCACTGCAGGGAACCGTCTTCGGCTCTTAGTTGATGCAACAGGCAACAGTGTCTTTGGTTTTTAGGTGAGTTGACAGTTGGTTAGCTATGCTAAGCTAAATGCATGTGTCAGCCTCATGGAGAAAGTTTGCTTTGCAAAGTCTGTTTGCTCACATGGTTATTATTTATCTCCAAACACTAACAGTGCCAATAACACTTGGTCTAATGACCACTTTCCATCTCCTACTTACACAGCCTATAGATATCGGTTGCCATCTTGGATCTACCTCCCTCATGAAGAAGCTTTGTCAAGTGTGTTGATGTCATAGTGATGTCGTCAGGGTTATCTCAGTTTCCAGACTAGTTGCATTATGGGAAGTGTAGCTACCCCCCACCCAAAAAAAAAAAACCCCATGCTTTGCAACCAAACACTGATCATATCCACAGCTTTTCTGTTCTGCAGGGAATCTAAAAGTTTCAAACACACTGATGATTTTTCAGCCTCAGCGCCGCTTAATAAAAATGGGTCTGAGTCCATACAGTCATTAACGTTAGAGGCTACAGAGACTGAGAACAGCTGACAGAGCATCAGGGTGGAACCAGGACAGAACACAACCTCTGAGAAGAACCGTGTGAAGGAGAGAACCACTTTTCTGCTGCTGCTGCTGCTGCTGCTGCACAGATGAGAAGGGAAGAGGTTGCGTCACTGACAGACGCTGGCGTCATTGTGTTTGTTAATAATACGCAGCTCGATGCGGCTGATCAGCGCCGTCTCCCACAGGCCGCACCGCGCACACAAAGAGCCGGAACACCCAGCGCCGTGCACCCACATCATCTCCCCGCTCCCTCCGCAGTCTCCTCCGCCTCGTCTGAGCGGAGGAGCCGCAGTGTGGATGCTGCTGCCATAACCCAACACCCCGTCATCCATCACAAGCACAGACACACGCTACACGAACACACACACACACACACACAAACACACACACGTACACACGCACACACACACACACACTGCACCCATGGACACAGCCTCCGCGCCCGGCCTGTTTTTCGCAGCATCTCTTACCTCTCAGATGAAAATTCACTCGGACATTAATCCATGATCAGCGCGCTGCTGCCGCTGCTGCCTCTCGATCACGTTTCTCCCAATGTTGCGGCGCAGAGAGGGCGAAATAAATAATTATTAGGAGGCTGCCCTGCCCGTTATGTCCTATCGGGAGGCGAGAGATGCGCCTGCCGAGCCCATACATACACGAAGAGCGGCCGAGTCCAGAACCAGAATCAGTCCAGCTCAGGGGGAGAACCGGTACACGACCTGCTCCGAAAAAGCCCTGCAAAGCCGAGCTGAACAGCCTCTCTGTTGTGTTTTCTGCCGCCTCGTCCTCTTCCACAACAGAGTGGCCCTCTCTGTCTCGTAATTTCTCCTCCAAACACACACACACACACACACTCACACACACGCAGCGCGGAGCAGCTCCTCTCATTTAAAGAGATAGGATGAGGCAGCTGGAGCAGCTGAGCTCAGAGCTCTGTCTGCTTCTTATGTAACCTGAGCAGCTCCGCTCTGCAGCCCGGCACAGGTAACTGCTTCACCTGTGTGACTGCAGCTAGCCCAACGGGAATATGTCTGTCACTGGATGCTACACAGGGGATGGGTATGGAGGAGGAATAATGGGGGTGGGGGGTGGAGGGGGGGGGGGGGGGGGGGGGGGGTCACATTGCCCCATGTATGTGAAATATGGACATTTTACTTGTAACTGACTGGACATGTCAGCTGATCCAAACAAAAACAGGCTGCAAGTTCACTGAACTCCTGCCTCATGTTGGTGTCAACCAGCAGGAGATGACCTGAGTGTATCCCCCCCCACACACCACACACACACACACACACATCTCTGACACACTGTAAATACAGTGTGTTTTGATCAGGGAGTGGAGACTCTGAAACATGTCCAGTGTGGAGGTTTGGTCTCGTTGGTGGGGACACAACAACCCCTGCAAAACAAAGAAGACTTTGTAATACTGTCAACTAGGGCTGCACAATCAATGTACAGTAAATATAATTGAAATCACAATACGGCCAAGTGCAATATCCAAATAACAGGAGCTGCATTTATTTGATAAAGGTCAGATGTGTCACATTGTTGAGCACTGTTAGCACCATAAGTGTTGTGGTGCTACGGAGACACCCTGGCCTACAAATCATATTCTCCAGATGTAAAGGAACATGTTTGTTTGGTACAAAACTGACAAAAATCACATCATCATTATTATATTTTTTAAGTGAAAATGAAATGAAAAAAACAACCGCAATCTGCCAAAAATAATCGCTATATGATATTTTTTACATAGTATGCAGCCCTACTGTCAACTGAATGTTTATTTACATCCAAATCAAACTACAGGCTACACAGTTAAGTAGATCAAGTAGTAAGCAGATCAAAGACAAAGTAAACTTTAGGAAATTACTTGTTAAAAGAAAAACTAACAATATTTTTCCATCCTACATCAATAATTTTATATTCAGTAGAACTTCTCTTTCCCCTTCTTCTCACATTTAAAACCAGCTCCTAGCCTGGTCTGGCCTTCGTCATCATAAAATTTGTAGGGTTCAAATTTAAGGCCATTGAGTGATTTGATGCCTGCAAATAAATAACTTGACTTTCTGTTTTAAAAAAAAAAAAACTAAGAAAATAACACAAATGGCATGAAAAAAAATTTATTATTCACTTTTCAATATAATTAAAAAGACATGTTTTAAGATGCATCATGTTATCATGTATCAATTTAGAATAATTTGGAGTTTTCTTAGTATCGGGTGTTGACCAATAGAGATAGAGTGGAAATTAAACACTCTGCTTCATTATCCTGCCAAAATATGAAGCTACAGGCAAAAAAAGTGTTTTTATTAAAGATAGAGTCAGTAATTCTGGAGAAAGACTGTTGATATTTGAACTCAACAGCAAAATAAATACACCCCTCCCCTCAGTGCTCCTTCAGAAGCTCCACCCCCCAAATTCATGGGTGCTCATAGAGTGTTGCAGGGATGACCAACCCTGAAGTTAGCATCACCCTGGTTCCCTCCACTAAAAGCCAATGAGATTTTTCCATTGTCTTTTGGATTATTAATATAAACACCAGTTTAGGATCCTGAGAGGTTTTGTTCAGCAGGATCATCTTTACTAATTAACACTACTGATTTTGAAGCCAGAAGTAAAAAGCTGGAGTTTGATTCAGCTCTGACCTCTTGTACAAAAGCCTTTCCTCTGACACAGTTAATGACAGTTTGTATAAACACAACCAGGCTGTGAAGGTAAAGGTGGACTGCAGAGTAGATCAGTTTTCATGTTCAACGTGATGACGTTTAACGTCCCCGACAACCTCTGTAGGCTCATTTAGCAACCAGCCAAAAGAAATCAGGACAGGGGTATTTACTGACGTATTTTATGTTGTAGAATTAAACATGAAAATGTCTTGAGCTCGTGTTAAACACAGATCTTATTTTAGTCATCGAACCAGAAACCCAGAGACTTCAGGACCAGGGAACAGGAAAGTGCTAAAATGCAGAGTTATTTCTGGTTTTAGGACTCATTCCTGCAGAGCTCTATCAGCATGTGCTTTCTTAAAGTGAAGTGTTGAGCTCTCAGAGCCACTGTACAGTACTGAACATCAGAGGAATAAAGTCTGATTGTTTTCACCAAACAAGCTGATTTTCAGACTGTACTGCAGGTGTGTGTACAGACATACACTGTTATTTATGTTTCATTTTAATGTGTTGGTGGCTGCTTTTTTATGTATTTGCTAAATGATAACTATTTATTTTGTTACTAACCTGTTCATTTCTGTTCTACATCCATTGATACAGTTCGATCCACATATGAATATTTCTACACATTTTCTTTTTCAGCATGAGAAGCTGATTGATTTGATGTGAATAGATTTATATCATCATATAGTACTTACCTGAACTCTTCTTGCATATGATCATGCAAGAAGAGTTCAGGTAAATACTATATGATCAGATCATCCTGGTGGAAAATGGAAAAAGAGAGTTTTACTCAACATTTATTCCAGTCCAGCCTTCAACACTTAGAACATGAATGTGCAAAAATGTGGAATTTGTCAGCAGACAAAAATACAATTTTAACATTTATGGAAAATAAAGATTTTCCAGTAATAAATTAATAATGAATTCACATTTACTCAGGTTTAAATGGAGCTTTTCATTAAAGGAAAGTTATATTTCCCCTTTCTCAGAATCACACTCATTAAAAATAATCATCACCAACATTAGAACCTCACTACCTCACTACCTTACTACACAATGGATGTGTATTGCTTCTTATCTTGCCTACATTCTACTATTTATGTGTTTTATTTCTACTTCTTATTTATGGTTTTACTCACTGGACTGGTTTCTACTGTTTCTAATTGCTCTCTAAAAACAGAGAGCTTAAATCTATCGATCAATCAAACTTTATTTGTACAGCACTTTTCATGCAGGATAGTGCAGTTTAAAGTGTCTCACACATTTCTAAAATGAGACAGCTGACAACGAAGTACAATAAAATAGATTTTAAATGATAAGATTTTCAAAAAAAAGTAAACAACTGTATGTTACATAATAGAAAATCAGCTCTGTACTAGAGACCAGCCGTCGCGGCCCCTGCCAGCATGTTGACGTTCAGACCCATAAGTACTCGGTACTACATTATTACGAGTACTCAGTGCTAATGGGTCAGACCACAACCATCTGAGGACTCAGCCTTCATTTTCATCTCAAATACACACCTGTACAGTTTTGTGACCATCTTGCAGATAGTGATGGTGGCAAAGTCTGTTGAACCAACCAACCAACTGACCAACCGACCACCTCTGTGGTAGATCCCACTACAGTCTCCAGGACTACATTTATGCCATGATACCATACCAGCCGAAGCATCAACCTCTGTGGCAGCCAACACTGAAGAAAAAAAACGTCAGTTCCTCTGATGACCACTAGAGTCTGGCTCCAACAATGAATCAATCTCCATAGACTCCCATGTTAAAATTTATTTACAGCAGAAATAAACATGTTTACAGCCTGGTACAAAAACAGTTCTGATCTCTAGAGCTAATTTCCTCCTTCATGACACCTGTTTATATAACTCACCTGTTTACATTTTATTAAGGCTTAAAGTTATGGAGAATTGAGGGTGTGGCCTATTTGAGTGACAGGTGGGTGAGCGTATGCTTGCCACAAACCAGCATGCACTGATGTCTCAGCTCCATACACCATTTCACCACTTCCTTTTTGGATTAGCTGGTAGTTAGGGGCAAAGTCAGACACTGCCAAGATGGTGACAGTGGAGCAGCTCACTCTGAGCTTCAAAACCACTCTTCAGAAACCTGTGGGTGACGTCACAGAGGCTACGTCCATCTTTATTTACAGTCTATGTACCAGCCACACTCTGTTTCAGCTGGTGATCAAACAGCCTTATTGTCTAACAGTCATATACACCAACTGGTCCTCATGACCAACCAACTGATCTACTGATGAACTGATAATGAGTCAACCGTGATCTCAAACTAGTAACCATCATGAGGAAGAAAACTGCATGGAACAACACACAGCAAGACTCTATCCTTCATTTGATAAAAGTTATGTTTAATGTTTAATTTTTTTCCCCAGAATCCGCAGTCTTTGGCTTATATTGTGAAATTTGACTCTTTCACCTGTGTGGATCTAAGTTTATCAGATGAAATCACTCTGTGGTCGATCTGCTCACAGCTCACGCCCACTCACCTGTGACGTGAGGTCACGAGCAGATGTGGCCTCATTTTAAGGGAATCACTGCCATAAACCTCCTTCCTGGGGTTTGTCCTGTTATGGGCATCACCTCGCTAAGGAAGTGACGCCATGGCTGACTGCCTCTCCTCCTCTTTCTGTGTGTGTGTCTCTCTCTCTGTGTCCAAACAGGCAGAGAGCTGGAGAGCTTTCTATTTATAGAACCCTACCGCCTGTTCAGCCTCCCACCCCCTCCGGCACAAAGAGATACACCCACATACACACACAAAGCAATGCTCAAAGCACCCATGGACAGCCTGCATGCAAGTGCAACACACAGGGCGTCGCACGATCTTGTACAAACCAAGTGCACGTGCAAACACACACACACACACATAGGAACAGAATGTGAGTTCATGCATTTACATTGCAAATACAGAAATACAGTATATGCACGCATGAACAAATACAGGCATAGAAATGTGAAGTGTAAAACGAAGCCTAATGAAAAAGCAGAAACACGTCATTTTGCTCATACTATAGCATTAATAATTCAGAGACTGAGGAGGAAGAGGAGGAGGAACACTCCCTGTAATGGATAGAGGGG